GTAGAAAATTTACTACAATCGTGGAAAATATAGTTTGCAAAAATAGTTTATCAAGAGAGATTAACAACTTCTCGCATTCCATGCAAAAGATATAGGTATAACTTTGTCACTACACTTGTAAAACTAAGTTTTTTTATATTGATTATAAGACTCAATAACATTCAATTTTTGTCACCCTTTAAAAAAATATTTCTTCTAGTACAATCACAATCATTGAGAAAAAATATAGTTTGCAATACTAGCACATGGAGAGAGAAATTAGAAATTTGTGGCAATCAAATTTTATTTATTGCAGAATGCATCCACTAATGCCCAAAAACTTGGTCTTATCTTTAGCATATGTTGGGTTCATCCTAGATAGAAAAAGAAGATAGGTTTGTAGAAGAATGCGAAAAACCACAAAACACCAAAGCGGAGGTGAGAGACGAAAACTTAATAAAATTGAATATTAGGACTCAATATTAAGATTTTGATTATTTTATTTCATTAAATATTTATCAATCCATGTTTTCTTGCACTCCAACAATTTGAGGGCATTGCAAACTATCTTATGGTAGGCTCATATGCAATCAACCATCAAATCATTCACAACATTCTTTGAACAAAATGGATATCACTCAAGGTATATTTGATAAATGGAGTCTTAAAAGTTATTAAATATGTCTATATACCCATCTTAAATCTAAGATTTGAGATAAAGCACAATAAATGACTAATATGAAATTGCTAAAATAAAGTATGAATCTAGAATGACTTGACATTAGATTTATCAAAACATGAGAATTTTGTAGGACAGAAACAATTAATATAAGTGGCTACAGTTGTATGAATTAAAAATGAGGATTTTGTCAGGTGAAATAAATTCAGACGGTGAAACAATCTATCCATACTTAGCACATCAAAAGACAAGTTATGCTCGGCGAAACCTGCTAGATTGAAAACGCACCTGCCCGCCGCTTATGAGTTGCTGTGCCGCTGCGCTGGAGGATCTCCAGCTCGACACGGCCCATCGACATAAGGCCCAGGGTAAGTCCCGACATGATCCCTGCGAAAAGCACCAGAAAACAGGAGATTTCCGCGTAGCCGACCCACAAAGGCGAAAGGCAGCATCTTAACTCACCTCACTGCCTTTGTCTCTCTTTCTCTCCTCGGCAAAGGCAAAGCTCCCCGGTCAGTGTCGAGGAAGTTAGGAAAACAGGAACCGCCCGGGCGGAACGTTAACATGTTCAATTTCTCTCGTTCGACTCGATTAAAACGTACGTATTCAAATGAGCTCGACTCGTAAATTTAATATTTACATAAATACCACCGAATATATATTTATCTTCTCCCAACTCAACCGTATTGATTTGGAATCGTTTTTTAGATATTTAGATGCTACCACCCAAAATCTATGTATTATGTATCCAACTCCTAAACATATATATTTTATGATTATACAACCCAAATAATTTTTAAAAATCCATGAAACCAATATTTTATAATTATAATGAGCTTTTTTGACAATCCTATTGTTGTGTCTGAAGTCCAGGATACAAAAAATTAAGAGCTGAGTTAGGTTCTTTGTTGCCAAATTAATTTTTTTTTTGTTGAAAAACTATAAAATAAATTATTTAAATCTTGCGGCAATACTAGAGCATCCCCTGAAAGCTATATGCTATATAAGTTGAATATAGTTAAAAGCATGCAATGACTGTTGTACTAGAGTTTGGGTGTATAATTAAATAAGCAAGGGTTACATCATGACGGATGAGGGAAAATAAGTTAATCAATGAAACCAATATTAGGATATGAAATTAATATATAAGTACTTTCACATATAAATTTATGAAATTAGTAGGTATGATCAAAGTTGAATCAAGCTGTCTTGAATTGGACACGTGCTAAAGAATCAATCCCAATTAGCACTAAGAGCTATCAGTCAACACGAAGTAAATGATCCAGCTGACCGAACCAAAAAGAGAGACTAAATGAATTGATGAACGGCTTGATAATCTAGGAGTAACCGATATGAAGATTTGACAAATGACGATTCTACCATGATAACAATTATCTTGATAGTTACAATGACAGACCAACAATAAATAATTTCTAGGGCATAATCAACACTTTGTAATGTAATTTCTAATTACTATAAATATGAAAACAATGATATATAAAAGAGGGACATTTTGGAAAAATCATATTGATTATTTATTTACATGTCTAAGGCTCTCAAGTCCCTCTTTTCTTTTTTTTTTCTCTCTTTCTCTTCTTATTTGTGTTATATATATTGGGTGTGATTTACAAATAATTTAAATTTAACACTTTGAAATGTGAGCTGAGCGTGGAATCATGCCACAAACATGATGAGGAGCGATTTAAGGAGTTCACACACCTCTAGAAGCTCCCGACGACATGAACTATACTCGTGATTTTATTACTCAATGATGTGCATATATGCAAGACAGGTTCGTGGGGATTGATATTCTTATTAGAAAATCGGATGTGCATGCCAAAATCGAAAAGAATTGATGGAAATTCTTATGTGATGTAAGAAACCAAACAATAAAAACGTCCCATGGCTGGAACAAACCGAATTATAGGTAGAACCTACGGTAAAATGGATGGATGGAGGTAAACCTTGACCTAATGCTCAACGCAAACAAAAACGTTGGTATAAGACCGCAATCCAAAGACCGGAACCCTATGCTTAATGTGAGGAAATAACAAGTTGAGAAAGAACTCCTTAGGCGATGGCCTGGACTTTCGTTGGAATCCTAAGGAAATTATGGGAGACAACCCAAATGCAAGTTTTTTTTGGCAAGAATCAGAAGTCCCCTTCTCATTTAACATAAGATCTATATATAGCTAAAGCTTACAAGAAAATAAAGGAGAAGATAAAATATCTTCTAAAACAAATAAAAACTACATCAAGTTGGCATGCAAGTCATTATTAAACCATAATAAAAATACAAAATATTCAGCCATAATAATTTAACTCCTTTATCCTTAGGCTTGAAATAAGTTGATAAATTTTTGCGGCTCTTTCTTCTTAGATCCCCATGAATTGGCTTGAGTCCAAGCCTCCTGGACTAATATATTAAGAGCTTCTTTCACCCTCTTTGTACGATATCTAGTAATTGGCCCGCATGAAACTTGAATTAAATTTTCTCTTGAAGTTGTGTCATTGCCATCCATGCAATAATTTGCATCATTCTCCTCCTCTTGAAAAGGATTTGTCCTCAAATCAGTGCCTGTATAAAAAAGACTTAAATCAGTAACATTGAATGTGACACTCACATTATACTTACCTGTTTGATCCAGCTTGTAGGCATTGTCGTTTATACGCTTAAGTGCTTGGGAAGGATCATCTCCTCTGGGAAGTAGTTTGGAATGCCTTTGTTCTGGAAATTTTTCCTTTCTCAAGTGTAACCAGACCCAATCTCAAGGTTCGAAGATCATTTTGTGTCGCCCCTTGTTGGCATGTTTTTCATATTACTTTGTTCTTTTTTTAATATTCAGTCGTGCCTTCTCATGTATCTATTTTACAAACTCAACCTTTTTCTTACCATCCAAGTTAACATGCTCAGAAACAGGTAATGGAATTAAATCAAATGGCGTTAAAGGATTAAAAGCATAAATAATTTCAAAATGTGAAAATTTAGTAGCAGAATGAACAACCTTTTTATAAGAAAACTCAACATGTGGTAAACAATCTTCCCATGTTTTGATATTTTTTTTTATGATTGCCCTTAACAAATTAGACAAAGTCCTATTTACTACTTCGGTTTGACCATCGATTTGTGGGTGACAAGTAGTAGAAAACAATAATTTGGTTCCTAACTTACACCACAAGGTCTTCCAAAAGTAACTCAAAAACTTAGGATCTCTATCAGAAACAATTGTTTTAGGCATACCATGTAATCTTATAATCTCCCTAAAGAACAAATCTGTAATATTAGAAGCATCATCAGTTTTGTGACATGGAATGAAATGTGCCATTTTGGAAAATCGATCCACCACGACAAAAATTGAATCTCTACCACGTTTAGTCCTAGGCAAACCTAGCACAAAGTCCATAGAAATATCAATCCAAGGTGCATTAGGAATTGGTAAAGGAGTATACAAACCGTGGGGTTGCACTGGAGATTTAGCTTGTTGACATGTGACACACCCACCACAAATCCTCTCGACATCCCGCCGAAAAGCAAACCAGACTGGCCAATAGAAGTGTTCCTGCAAAACAGCTAAAGTCTTTGCAACTCCAAAATGTCCCATTAGTCCAGATTCCTGTACAAGCACTTCTCGCAATTCTCGCAAAGAACTTTTAGGCACACATAACTTATTTTCTTGAAATAGAAACCCATCATGTTTAAAGAATATACGGCAAGCAATTTTATCACAAGCTCGATATTCATTAAAAAAATCAACATCATCATAGTATAAATTTTTAATATGTTCAAAACCAATTAACTTTGCATCAAGAGTAGAAAGTAATGCATACCTTCGAGAAAGAGCGTCAGCAACCACATTTAACTTACCTTGCTTGTATCGAATGACATAAGGAAATGTCTCAATGAACTCCACCCAACGAGCATGCCTTTTGTTTAGCTTGTGTTGACCTTTCAAGTGCTTCAAAAACTCATGATCAGTGTGAATCACGAACTCCTTATGCCAAAGGTAGTTCTGCCAAGTTTCCAAGGCTCTAACCAATGCATACATCTCCTTGTCATAAGTTGGATAGGGTGGCCCCACTCTACTTTTCTCTGAAATAAGCAATTGATCTTAGCTCCTGCATAAGAACAACACCTATGCCAATTTTAACTTTTCACTAATGGACTGGTGCTGCAATCTATTCACAAAAACTACCTTTTAACTGCATTAATTTAGGGAAGTTCGATCAAACGTTAAACATAAACTGTCACTTGTTTTATAAAAAGTTCCACCATAGCTGCACCAAGTAAAGCCTTCATTGAACTTCTAAAAACCAGCGGCTAACTTACTATAGCATTTTTTAGTGATCGGGTTGCCGTTGGGCGTGCTCTTGACTTGCCTGCATATTTTGGAGATGCCGGGAGTAGAGAGGTCAGACAAGAGTTTTTGAGATTAATTCTGAAATTCCACAAATGTTGAATCACGTTAAGTCAAATTAACTTCTCAATCTAATGTTTCTTAGGTCTTACACAAAGTTGGGGCTAAAAGAGCTTGTGCTGCTGGAATTACATTGGATACATCTGGTGCAAATTACAGAACTGTGTGGGCTCTTAGCAAATATTTCCCCAATGTGAAGACATTCGTCCGAGCTCATGATGTTGACCATGGCATTAATCTGGAGAAAGCAGGAGCAACTGCGGTAAGTCGCAACCTGAGATCTATAGTAAACTCACGATCATCATTTGTTTCTACATACAATTCTTATGTATTTGCATATCTAATATGTAAACTCCATCGTCCTTATCACATCAAAGTACTACTACCATTAACTTTCTAAAAGTGAAATACAATTTTTTATGCACAGGTGAAGTGGTATTGATGTAAATATCAAAGTGTAGGTGTTAAATATGTAAACACATAAGAACTATGTGGCATGCATGTAAATTTTCCAAATTAATTATTGCGAAGTTTATTAGATCTATTCATAACAAAATCTAAATACCTGGAATGTCATAAGGTTGTACCAGAGACATTGGAACCAAGTCTCCAGCTAGCAGCTGCTGTTCTTGCTCAGGTAAAATAGTAGAAAATTACTTAAATCGAATTTCTTTTGATTCTTCTAAGCACCCTTTTTAATTGTTTTATAATCATTATTTCTCCCTGTTTTCCCTGCAGGCCAAGCTGTCAACTTCCGAAATTGCAACAGTTATTAATGAATTCAGAGCCCGTCACCTCTCTGAGCTCACTGAGGTATGCAAGGATAGGTTGATAGCCTATCATTAGGCATACATATCTATATTTTTGCTGATATGCCTATTAAAAAAATGGAAGATTTACAAAATGGGTCTTTAAATTCTTGAACTTATTTTGAGATGAAGTTGATATAGAAGTTAATTGCATATCGATATATTGCAATATTTTGAAGCGATTCCTGTGGCTTTGAAACACATCTTGATCAAATTTGGTCAGATATCCACTTTTTTTTAATGAGATTAAATTTTCATGAGCATGATTTTCGTTTATTACATTTTCATTGGATGCGCGACATCTGAACAATTTTGTTGAACATTATCTGTTGTATGCAGCAAAAATGAATAAACGAACGGTTAGTGTTTAATTAATCAAATGAAAATTTCTGCAGATATGTGAGGCAAGAGGTGGATCGCTGGGTTATGGATTCTCAAGAGTCATGTCCAAGACGAAATCTCTGAATTCTTCTGATTCGGATGATGATGAATTTGTTGAAGGTACACTGGCAATTTGATCAAACAAGTAGAGTAGGTAGAAAGAACTCATTTTTTTAGCAGAATTTTGAAACTTGTACAGCTAGTTGAGATACATTTGTATAGTGAAATGAACAGCTCACATGGAAACATACTGCTCATTTTTGGGCTGAGATGCCTTTGAGCCCTTCAACTCCCTTTTCTCCACGGCCATATCACACACACCAGAACATACGTTTCTTGGTAGAGTAAATGAGGCTTGCTTTGCTGCCAAGCACGCCAATTAATATCAAATTTTCGATTTATTTTTAGGGTCTAAATTCTAATATTATCTTCTTATGGTATACTGAGGATGACCTCTCGTACCTATTTGTGAGATGCTTGCTCAAATTGATTTTTGTATTCGACAACTATTCATGCTCTAATTGTTTTCCTAATAATTCTCAGACCATTTTACTGTATGTCACACACGTGCGTGCGCGCGCGCAGATGGATCAATGGATAGGGTTAAATACCAAAATGGTCTCCCAACTCTATATGGATGTAATCAATTTAATTCCAGAGTTTCGTTGTGTTTCGATTTGATCCGACTACTAAAATTTGATTCCGACTGGCAGCCCTAGGATTATTAAATTGGATCAATGTTAGTCCTAGGATCATCCTTGTGTTGTGGCTTTCACGCTGATCAACTTCCAGTTGTCTAAATTTGATCAGTGCAAAACCAGGGAGTTGGGTTATAATTAAGAGATTATTTTAGAGTTTATTTATAATTATTCATACATATATATTGTGTACAACTTATTATAACATTTATGTTTAATTCAATTGTGAAATAAGCTTAAATGAATGAACATATATATTTCATCATGATTGATTCATTATGAATTTAAAATGACATCAATCAATATTATGACTTTTGAATTTACTAAATAATTGATAGTTAAATAGAATAATTCTATAAACAAAATTTCTTTAATTTTAATTTCTTTGATTTAAAATACTTTGCGCTACTAATTTCAATAACAATTTCACAATTAGCTCCTAACACGAACGACTGAAATTTTAAATTAGCTAAACATGAATAAATAACTCGCTCAAGTTCAATTAATTTACACCCTTAAAATCAAAACAAATATAATATTAACATATAATTTCTATCTTTGAATCAAATCTAAATGAAACACATGCATTTTAAATCAAAGTATCAACATGAAGGCATTTTTTTCTACTTGAATTCAACAGCTTAAAATTTTTTATTTTATTTTTAAAAAATGTGCTGCACGTTCAAATATGATATAAACACAAGTTATACAATGAAAATTGCAAGCAAATATAAGAGTAGGATTTACAAATTTTGTACAGCTTAATTGAGCCAACAAAAAAAGTTAGGAGCTTGAGGCAATCTAGACTGAAACTTACTGGCTAAGAAGCCCATTTGACCCCCTCCCTCTCTCTAAAATTCCATCCTCCTTTTAATAAGACAAGCCAACTCATTAGAAAGCTTGAAATTAATTAGCCGAGCTCAAATTTTAAGCCAAACAACTACAACTCTAGCACAAACCAGCGGCAGCTCAACTCAGACTCATTTAAACCCCACAGACAACAAAATAAATAAAAAAATAAAATAAAATAAAAACTATACATTTTAATAAAATATATAATTCACATACATCGACAAAATTTTAAAAACATGTAGAGAAGCATGCACATAGAAATTCTTGAACAAAAGAATTGGGAAGTAAAACGCCTGATAGCATGAGCATTTGCAAGCATCATGGAGAAACTGAAGGTGCATTTAAAAACATGCCACCCATTTCCTCTGAATATAGATATCTAACACCTAAACTTTACTGTTTACATTTATACCACCTAAATCTTTCACATCACATGCCAGTATTTTGACTTTAAAAAAGGGAAACACAACTTGTCATGCATAGTTAAGGAGGCATATATGCAAAAATTAAACTTTAGGTGCTAGATATATAAATACATAGGAGTTAAGTGATATGCAAGTAAATCTTCCAAAATTGTAATGTTGGGTTTCACTTCCTTATGTTAATGCCAGGAATGC